CTCAGCACACGGTGCTGGGCGTTGGGGGGGTGTCCCCGGGACTCAGAATCATGGCAACCGACATTAGACAAAACACCCGAGTGCCCTGTCTCCCCGGACTCCCCCGATGTTTGAAGAGGGATCCCATCAAAAGATGTGGGGGGGGCACCCCTAGAAGGGGCAGGTGGGGGACTCTGCCTAGGGGGAACTGACATTCTATGAAGGGTGGTGGGAAACTAGACGATAGGGAAGGTTGTGGTATTGTTGCCGTGAGGTCCTGGCTCACGGTGACCCTACCGGGAACAAAAGGAAGCCCCCTGCCTGATCGGGTGCCCCTCACCATTGTTGTCCGGGCTATCGGTGCCACGGACTGGTGCCCCCACAGAAATGCTGAGGGGGTGGGTGCTGGCCAGAGTGGCGCTGCCTCTTCATCCCTGGAGCCTGGGTCTCAATCTTCAGGGACGCCCGGTGGCGGGCCGTTTCCGGCTGGGCTGGTTAGGGCCCACCCCCAGGGGCTCTGTGGGAGAAAGGCAGGGCGGTCTGCTTCCAGAAAGACTAGTATTGTTAGGCGTAAGGACCAATCTTACAACCCAGAGGGTCCTTTGGAGCGATTGTGCAATTGAAAGAAATAAAGAGACAGACAAAGAGTTTAGGGCGTTCACTCGCCTCTTCCATGAAGCCAGGAACAAGTGAGAGAGAGTGAGAGCGAGCAAAATGCATTTAACAGTAAGCTTATCTATTCTCAGGACATGCACACCCCACCAATCACATGCGGAACAGGGTGGGTGGGCAGCAGCTTAACCCTGGAGGTTCCTGCCCTCACTGGGGGAGAAACCTCCCACGAGGACTGGAGGCAGACAGAGGGGAGCCGATTACCTCCAGAGCAGGACGTACAGTAGCGACATGTCTGCTCCTATAGATAAGGGCCTGGGGCCGCAGAGCGACCCACCATGAGCTTGTACACACTTATCTTGAAAGTAGCGCTATTATGGGGGAGTACCGTGGGGAGTGGTCTTTCACCTGCAGACTGTGACCAGGTTCATCTCGCACCCACAGATGGGAAGGTCTTCCTCCACCAGAGCCTTGGCCTTCCAGACTCTCTTATTCTGAGCAGAGAGACTCTGGCCACTCTCTTCCGGGTCCTCAGGTGCCCACACTTAGGCACCAGCAAGCCTGTCATCCTCGCCGTCGCCGCTATGCCGGGGCCCATGGCTGCTGCCACCGTTGCCCGTCCATCTCCTCGAGGGGCTTCCTCTGTCCCCCGGACCCCCCAGGGCAGCCCTACCCTGTGCGGCGGGGTTGCGGCAGGCAACGGGTGGGAAGGGCTTAGCTGTGTGGTTTTCTCTCACGTCCACTCTCTGCTCCCTCAGGCCAGCTGGTCAAGGACATCACTGTGAACCAGGGCTCGCGAATCATACACAATTCCATTGACTTGGCCAACATCACCATCGCCACCGTTGCCGTAGGTGCGTGTTTTCCCAGAAGCCCTCGCTCCCCCCCTCTTCCCCCCCTTGACCCCCTGGGGCCAGCTGGGCTGGAGACCCGCAAAAGAACCAAAGGAAGACCTGTGGTCTCCACTCAGAAATGGCAGCCGGGCCACTGACGGCGAATACTCGGGGGCCCTTGGGTTTTCGTTGCTAGGAGACGCCTGTCCCATTGTTTGCTAGTTTGTGGGTTCGGTTCGATGGGAAATAAAAGGGCCATCTGCCAGGAGCTGATTTTCCCCAACACAGCTGACCAGCTCTGAAATTTGGAGGCAAAGCGTGCAACAAATTGTAGCGTCTTTTGACCTAGGGCAGGGAGGGCGGGGTGGCAGTGGATATCTGTATTTCTCTTGTGGTCCAAATTGCTAAGTCAAAACTTAGTCTCTGGGTGCACTGGTCTGTTTAAAGCGAGCGGGCCCTCCGTGCCCCAGGGGCGTCGCGCCCAGAGCCACCCTGCAGTACAGAGTAGACTGCCCCAAACTGCTTTTTGTACCAAAGCCAGGTGCGGAGTCTCGGCGTCCTGCCGAGCAATGGTGGGTTCCCACTGCACCCTCGTGGTTAGCAGCAGAGTACTTTAAAAGCGGGGGCCCTGGTGTGAATTCGGCAGTCACGACGAACCACGGAACTGGTCCCCACACAGGGTGCTCACCCACTGCCATCGAGGATTTGCCCACTTGTGGCAGAGACCCCACAGGACAGGGTAGAACTTCCTCCATCCCTCGTTCCCTCCCCCGCCCTCCCTGCTCCTTTCTTCCTAAACGGTGTCATGGCACCGGTGTGGCTCTCCCGGTGCGTTTTTCCACCGCACACCGTGTTTCCTGAGACGCAGCCGCCACCCGCCCGTCACCTGTCCTCCTCGCTAGACTTTGCCCCTCTGAGGAGCCCCCAAATCCGGCCCACCCGCCTGCTTTTCCAATAAAGCTTTATCGACAGGCGCTGCTGCGGGTTTCCCTGTTGTCCGGGCTGTGTTTGCACTCCAGTCCCACCAAGTTGAAAGTATTTACCTGCTGGGCCCTTAGACAGGAGTCCTGGCGGCGGTGTGGTTACACCTTGGGCTGTGGTCTACATTTAGAAACCACCAGCAGCTTCTCTGGGCTTTCTACTCCCGCCAACAGTGACAGTCTCAGAAACCCACGGGGGGGTGGGGGTGGGGGGACCACGAGTCACACCCGACTCCATGGTGAGGGACCCACAGGGGCGCCATGAACCAGCATGGACCCGATGGCAGGGAGTTTGCAGGAGAGAGCTTGCTGACCCTCAGTCCAGGTGATGGAATTGGGGTCACTTTTCTTCAAACTTCCTTTCGTCTTCCCGAATCATTTTCCACCCGCGCCCTTCTCAGAGAAGAGCCACTGGGGACACACGCTTCCCGGCGAGAAGCCGAGAGCTGGTGGAGACCAACGTCAAAAGCGCACAACGGCAAAACGGCCGCCCTTTTGGTCACCTCGATCCCAACCCCAAGGGACCCCCAAAGGACCAGGCAGCCCTGCCCGCACGAGTTTTCGAGACCAGCCCTCTTTCCGGGGACAGATGGCCTTTCTCTTTCTCCCATGACCTCTTCCTTATTCTGGGTTCAAAAGCGCAAAGCGATGCGCGCGGGTCAGCATCTCACTGCGCTTGACTGTTTGCTTCTGTGGTCCTTGCAGAACAGAATGAGGTGGCCATTTTCACAAAGCACCACGGCGTGTATTACGGCAGTCTGGGGAGCCTGTCTGACTCCATCATCCACGTAAGTCCTTCAGCGTTCGGAAACCCTCGCCGCCCACTGGTTCTCACGGGAAAGCTAGGCACCCGGAGATAAGGACGCACCTTGTATGGGCAGGGCAGAGGGCCAGGCCGCTTCTACTCACCTCCTCGCTGCATGCCCACCCCGCCCGAGGGCCTCGAGCGGGGCTGCTAGGCTGGCCGTGATACCACCATGATCTCCCCAGAACACCAGGGTTACCCACGGTGGGCGGGGCTTCAGCGGCCATCCACTTCTCCCAGATCAGCCCACGACAACCCAGCGACTCAGAGGGTCAGATGGTCACCGAGCTGTTGGGGACGCAGGTCTGGGTGGTTAGGAGGGCGGCACAGGGCCAGGCAATGTCCCGTCATCGTCCCTGCGGTCCATGTGGTCCCCGTCGCTCACGTCCACTTGTGGCGGCTCTCCTAGCTCCGCGGGCCCAGCTTTATAGCTAGTGCTCGTCCACCGTCAGTGGCTGAGGGAACATAGATGCCTGGGTCTGCACACGCCTCCTTAAGCATTCTCCCCCCGCCCCACCCCTGCACCCACCTCCCGGAAGCTGCCTGGCCGTGGAATGTTGTCATGGCTCGGGGTTATCAAGCCTACTCCCACTAGGGAGCCTGCACCCCACACAGCAACCTGCCGCCCCCTCTCATGCCATCCTGAGACCGGATCGGACCTGGACAGGATGGTCATTGGCAAAAGTCAGCTGCCAGGCCTTTCCTCCTCGTCTGTTTGAGTCCAGAGAGTCGGACAGCTAAACAGTGGTGGCAGCTGCTGGTGAGGTGCCCTGGCCGGGAAGGGGCAAAGGACAGGCCCGCTGGGTGCGGGGCCCGTGAGAGAGGGTCCTAACTAGCGTCCTGACACGTGTCCTCAGTGGGGAGGGGCCATAGTGTCCAGCGGACTCTCCGGGGAGCTCCTGATTCTGCCCAACAAGCCTTCAGGTTCCTGACGCTTCCCGGCCCCACGTGGCTGAGGAGGACGGACCACCCCCGTGGGGTTGCCCACACTGCTGCCTCGACAGAGGCAGGGCCACCTGGGCCACGGGGCGGGTGCCCACCACCCACCTTTTCTCAGGTGAGGTAGCCCCGTACTGAACTGTCTCGCTCCTAAGCCTCCTTGCAAACCCTGTGGGCCAGTGGGCCAGCATCCTCTCTAAGGAAATAAGCAAAACACTGGTAAGGTCTTTTAAGGTCACACCGAGCGCTCTCATGCCTCTCCTTAAAAATTCCTCCTGAGATACCATACCATACCATCTGAATGGGGGCGGGGGGCAGGGGGGTTTCAGGGAGGGGAGCAAGAGTTAGCATGATCGATGGAGTAGCGGTTACACGCTGGGCTGCTAACCACAAGGTCAGCGGTTCTAAACCACCAGCTGCTCCACGGAAGAAAGCCGAGGCTGTCTACTCTTGTCAAGTTTCTCACTCACTGCCGCTGAGTCCATGCTGGCTCACCGTTACCCCCCCCCCTGCAGTTTTCCGAGACTGTGACTGTGACTGCAGGAGTAGAAAGTCCATTCTTTCTCCCTTGGTGCTTCTTGTGGTCTCGAACTGCTGACCATGTGGATCGCAGCCCCCAACGTGGTGTAACCACTGGGCTTCGGGAGCTCACAGGGCCAGTTCTGCCCTGTCATGGAGGCTGTTTATGAGTCAGCATCGGCTCAATGGCAGCAGGTTTGGTTTTCATTCCAAGTCTTAGAAATTGTTCTCTCCCTCTCTCTTTCTTCTACTTTCCCTCCGTCCTCCCTTCCCTGTCCCCCCTTTTCTCCTGCTTGCTCTGTGGCCCTCCCTCTCGCTCAGATTACAAACACAGTTACCTGGTCTGAAGACAAGGTCCTGACATTCACGGACCAGGGACTACTTCAGATCTTCGTCCTGACCCTGAACAGGGCATCGTCCGCCGTTGACCTTTTGCAATGTGAATTAAACATCCAGGAGATATTCATGGACCCCAGGCTCGAAGTGGACTCTTGCCAGGTGTGTGGCCCTGCCCATGAAGAACCCCACACCCCCACGCCAGAAACTGCGTGCCCCGCCCCCAGGCAACACTGCTCCCTCCCTCCCTTCCTTCCTTCCATTCACCCCTCCTGCCTTTTTCCTGTCTGAGAGCCCAGACGACATTTGCGACCTTGAGACCCATCTGTGTCACCTGGGCTTCACTTCTCTCTCTGGTCCTGTGGTCTTCCCTGTGCGGACAGACTATACCAAGGTCTCCCTCACCTGCAGGATTTACCTACCATCTGTGGGTCTTACCCCACACCTGTGAGGCTTGCCCACCACCTATAGGTGGGCCTTTGGGAGTGTCTCCACCTCTGACTGTGGTGAAGGGCACCGTGAAGATCACTGCTCTGAGGTGTCTTACAGAAATAATGCCCCCCACCATTTTAATTCTTTTCTGCCAAACACGCCCCTCCCCCCACACACACCCCACTGCCCTGGGAGGTATTTTCTTTTTGAAAAACAGGTGCACAATGTAGAGATGTGGCAGAAAATAGACAATAGTCCAAACCAATAATAGTGGTTGCCTGGGGGGGAGGGGGGGCCCTACGGGCAGTGAGAAAGGAAACACACCCCTGCCTGTCGTATTTTAACATCTCACAGAGAGCATGCACCCATTTATGCGATTCCAAATTAATTATTTTAACGTGCATTTTAAATGTACAACTCTGTTTGGAGCTTTGGGTGTTATTATTTTTGGAGCTCCTCGTGCCCACAGGTCCTACGTGCAGCAGATCCTATGCGTCAGATAAGCTCACTTACAATCAGACGGGCTCCCTTCCTCCTCGGCTCTGCTCCTTCTGAGTTGCCCCAGTTAAGATCGGTTTCTTCCTTCTGGCTGCCTTGATTTCGGGATACCCTGACTGATGCCTCCTCAGAGCTCCTAAGGGATTCACAGCCCTCCGGCTCCCACCGGCCGCTCATCACTCTCCAAATGGCCTCACACAGAGGGGTTTTCTGCCAACTCATGGAGCACACCTCTTCCCCCTGGCAGTGCCAGCCTCTGAACACTAGCTTTCGGCAGGGAGACCAATATGGCAAAGGCAACAGCGCCATGAGAAGACTGACCCATCAGCACCCAGGACCCATTGATGAACCAACAGGGACAGCAAGTAGAAGAAGGGTTTCAGGGGTTGGGGAACAGTGGTGGTGGGGCATCAAAGGGAGCCGAGGTCAAGGAGTGCAGGAGGGAAAGGAATGTTTGGAAACTGATTGTGGTGGTGATTGTACCATGCTGCTGGATGCGATCGAACTACAGAAAGATATGATAGCTGTATTAACTCCCCCTCCCCTCCAAAAAAAAGTTTGAAAACAGCTCAATTAGGAATGGAAACTCCAACAACTACCACCTTGCTGACAAATAAAGGTGAACAACATCTCCTAGCTGGCTGGAAGAAGCCTTTAAACGTGCACACATCATGTCAGTTCTGTCTCTCTTCTGCATCTTGGAACCTCTCCTTCATGTCCAACAGTTGGCTGTTTTTTATCTAATTTTTAAAAAATTCAGACCATAAGGACCAAGGAGGTGTGATCTAAACTATTAGCAGATTGAATAGATTCATCACTTGCCAATTGCCTGGCTCCCGGGAATTCCCCAATGAAGAAATATGAGCAACATACTAAAAACTCTGCGAGGTATTTTCCCGAGCAAGGAACTCATCGCGACCCTACAGGCCAGACTAGAACGGCCCTGGTGAGGTTTCCAAGACTGTCGCTCTTTACAGGAGTAGAAAGCCTTATTTTTCTCTCAAGGAGTGACAGTGATTCCCAACTGCTGACCTTACTATGCCACCGGAGCTCCAGAATAACACAGGCATCATCAACAGAAAATGGCAGGAATACACAGTCACTGTACCAAAACAAAACTACCATTCTAGGAGATAGCATACACTCAATAACCAATGGTATTTGTGACAGTTAAGTTTTGTGTCAACTTGACTCCCAGGGCCTTAACTCTCTGTGGTTTGGCAGTTAAGGCCTAGGAACTTGCTGTGATGCGATCAAACACAACGTAGTCAACCACGTCATGGGTTCGGTGATGAGCCAGGCTATCCTTAGCTTCAGATAGAATGCAACACTCTTACTCAGATCACACTCCTACTGCAATCACTTGCAAGTAAGTTTTCTTGCGGGTGTGGCTGCTTCCAATAGAAGTGAACTCAGTGGAAAAGCTTGCTTGCTTTTTGCTGGATCTGGATCCTGCAAATGGCTCATTGGGCTTGAGCTGGCTCTTTGTGCTTGAGTCAATGGCCTGGCATACTGCGTGTTGCTCCTGGGAGGCATCAGCAGAGTGCCTTCTAAACTGCTGACCTTGGATGCATTCACCTCTTCAGCCACCAGACTGCATTCTTTCTGCTGATCTTGGCCCCTGAAGCTATGCAAATTAGGAGAAGCTTTCAACTTAACTCCTGACCCATGGACTTGGAACCTGCCTGGACGTGGGCTTACTCAATTCTACAACTATGAGTAGAATCAATGCATTTGAATTGTGGTGCCAGCGAAGAATAGAAAGTACCATAGGCTACCACCACCACCAACAACAAAGAAAACCAATCAAATCTGTCTTGGCAGAAGTACATTGAGAACCGAATGTTCCTTAGAGGCAAAGATGGTAAGACTGAGTCTCACATGCTTTCGGACACCAGTCCCTGGGAAAGGGCATCATGCTTGGTAAAGTCGAGGGGCAGCAAAAGAGAGGAAGACCTTTGACGAGATAGATGGGCATAGGGGCTGCAACAATGGGCAGGAACAACTGTGAGGATGACCCAGGATGAGGCACTGTTTCGTTCTGCCAAGCTGGCTGGGAACACTATGAGTGCGAGCCAACTCGATGACACTCAACAGTTTCACTCCGCACGATGCTCTCCAGGCCCATCCATGCCAGGAGGTCGTCATTTCTTAAAAAGGGAGGCAGTTTTCCCTTGTGTGTACGGATCAGAGTTTCTTTCTCCATGCTTCAGCTGATGGACATTGTGGTTGCCTCTGTCTTCTTGCTGCTGTGAACGGCGCTGCCCTGAACTGGTTCGACTGTGCCAGGTGGTTTGTCCAAACCGTGGTTTCCCAGGCTCGACAACCTGGGCTTTTCTGCTGCCTTGAGATGGAGAGAAAGCGTGTGTATGTGTGTGTGTGTGTCCAGTCTTCAAGAATGCCAAGACTAAGCCAGGCCATCTTCAGACACACCTTTGGGTGTGTATGCTCCAAAGAAACACCAACAAGGCCAACCCGGGAAGAGTCGGGTTAAGGACCTTCCAGAGGAAGGGGAAGGAGAGAGGGAGGGAGGAGCAGTCAAGGGGGCGATGCAGAGGAGCCTGCTGGGCGCAGAGGCTAGTGGGATGACGGTCCAGCAAGGAGCAAAGGGAAACAGCAGTAACCCTCGTAAGGCCCCCTCCGGCGCCGAGTCCACTTGAGAGGAACAGCACAAACAGCAGAAACAGACACGGAATGAACTGGTGACAGCTTTGTCGTGTATGTTTCCCCCAAATTGAAAAAAGAGAAGGGAAAAAAAGTTTGCATGAACAGCAACGAGTACAGGGGTAAAAGAAAAGGTTCTGAAATCGATTGTGGTAAAGATTGTCCAAGTCTTGACATGGTGGAACTCTTGAACGGTAGGATACATGGGTGAAGTGCCGATAAAACGTGTTTTGTGCGTTTGTTTTAAAATAATTTATAAGTTATCAAGGGTCCATGGGGCAGAGGGGAGCGGGGAGGGAGGGGGGAAATGAGGAGCTGATACCAAGGGCTCAAGTAGAAGGCAAATGTTTTGAGAAGGATGCTGGCAACATATGTACAAATGTGCTTGACCCAATGGATGGATGGATGGATTGTGATAAGAATTGTACGAGCCCCCAATAAAATGATTTTAAAAAATAAAATTTTAAAAAAAGAGAGAAACATTAAAAGAAGGGACAAAAGGGGGTGGGGGAGAGATGGGACAGAAAAAGGAAGTCACATCTCTAGGAAGCCACTCACGCTTCCTACCCGTTGACCATGCCCTCGGGGAAACTCGGCCGCCTGCCTGCCCGGCCCTTTCTGTGTTTCTGAGCAGATAGAATACATCTCCGGGCACTTTGCGGGCAAGATGTTTACCATGGACATGAAAAGCCGCTTGGAGTTGTTCGCGATTGTGATACCCCAGTTGCGCAGACCCCCAGTTCCACTAGTAAGTGTGTCTTTTTGTTGGCGGGTATTGGGGGTGGTGGTGGCACAAGCCCACAGACAGTCGAATCTTTGCCTCCCCGGCCACTGGAATCCGTTCTTGCTGTGCGCTTTCCCCTCTTCTGGGTCAACGCAGCGCAGGCACAACGCTGCACGCCCGTCGCTCTTTCCAAAAGCCTGTCCCACCCCCCAAGCAGAAATTCGGGGATCGCAGCAGCGCTGTCCCACAGGAGGGAACACCACTCAGCCCCGTGTTCTCTCGTGATGCCTGGTGGGCTCCAAGCGCCACGCCCTGGCTGAGAACACTGGGTCATTGGAAGCCCTTTCCCCATGGGGGACTCACCTGGCAGCACTTGATCGATGTTGTGTTGTGATTCCCCCACCCCCAAGGATAACTTCCAATGGCTAATTTTGGAAGTCGGCTGCCCGGCCTTTCTTGCCGGCCTATCCTAGTCTGGAAGCACAGCTGACCCTGCTGGTGTCTGGAACACCAGCCGTACTGTTTCCAGCCTCCGAGCAGCCTGCGGGCCACCTCAGGGTGACAAACTGACAGACAGGAAGTGGCCCCCAGCCCATGGCGACCATGAATCCGTTGGCTGGCTTGTTCTCCAGCCTTCTGAGCTGCCCCCGAGCCCTCCCACCAATCCCACAATCGATGCTCCTGGAAGCAGCAGCCAAGAGATGAAGCAACACTCGTGGTGTTGGTGGTGAGGTGCCACTGAAGTCAGTTCTGACCCATCGTGGCCCCCGGCACACCCGACCGAAGCCCGGCCTGGCCCTGCGCCATCCTCACCAGGGCTCCTGTGCTGCAGCCACGGTGTCCGTCCATCTTGTCCAGGGCCTCCTCTTTTTCGTTGACCCTCTATGTTACCAAGCCGGCGGCCTTCTCCAGGGACTGGTCTCTCTTGACAACATGTCCAAATGACGTAAGACGGAGTCTCAGCCATCCTTGCCTCTCAGGACCACACGGGGCACACTTCTCCCAAGACACCGTAGCTGCTGCACCCCTAAGAATCACGGTCCAGTCAGATGGACGCACAGCTGTGGGAGACACAGGTCAATCTCTGATTGGGGGTGTACTTCTCCCCCCGTCCCCCCCGCCCTAGGTCACCGTGAGCAACCCGCACTCCTTGGGCCTGGAGGTGGACATCAGGGAGAAGAACTACACCATGGATGGGAATTTCGTCTTTCAAGTGGTGAGCTTCGGTGCCCCTCCACGCCCAGCCCAGCCCAGCGCAGGGCCAGGGCCTCCCCTCCCCCTCCCAGCCCAGGTTCAAACGCTGCGGGGTCTGGTGGAGGGGTGCGGCGGTGTTGACTCAGAACGACCCCTCGGGACAGAGCAGCAGTGCCCTGTCTCGAAGGAGCTACTGGGTGGGTTCAGGCTGCTGCCCCTCCTCTTCCTCGCCAAGCCCTCTCTCTGGAGATACCCTGGCTCCCCTTGAGAAGATACAAGAGGGAAGCTATGGTCCACTAGCAGGATGGAGTCCAACCCGGGGAGTGTGTGAGGCCTGAGCTTGCTAGGGAAACTGAGGCTG